ACATGAAGTCCCTAGCCCTATACTAATAATTTTCAGGATAATAAACGAATTATACGATTATAAACTACTATACAATATTAAAATACAAAAATAAAAAATAAATAAACATATAGTATAAATTTGTATTAAGCTTGTAAGCCAAATATAATATTGCTCTTTCACTTCACATACAACTATTATAAGTATCATATACATTTTGATTGAATTATTTTTCATTGTTTTATTACACGGGACATTCACTATGATTAATTTTGACTAATATGATATAGAATACAGATATATACTATAATATGTCCTTGTTTTCAATAGTAGGACAATTTATCGCAATCGAATAATATATCCAATAAAAAAAAAAAAACCGTTATAGTTTATTATTGCAAACTATAATAAGTCAAGGGTTGTATTTTAAAAGCCGATATATTATACATCAAACACGTTATGTATAATTTTTTTTATGATTAAATCATTTATTATTCAGGTTGTTTCCGTTGTCGATTAAATCCTAAATCTTTGATTTTCTTGATTCAAAAAACAGGATTCTGCAAGAGGAGATATAGGTACGCGCGATTGTATACAGATAATAAACCGCGTCTACAAGTCTGTAACATAATGCTAAAAAAACGTGTTTTGTACCAAGCTAATAATAAAGAACCCTGCTCTCGCGCGATATTATAAAATAAATTGCATATATTATATTATATTTATATGTTATAAACGCCGCTTAGGAGAAAAAACTAAACACACGCGGTGCGTTAAATTGGCACTGGCATCTCGTTGCAGGAAAATTTGACATGAGTTTTGCAATATTTTTTGTCCGACCAATTCAATTTTTGTTATCACAACCGGTTTTTAGCGTTTTTACGACATCGATCACGAACATGCCGGTATCGACTTGACATTTTAACGTTCGTAACATATTATATACTAGCAGCAGCCAGCAAGCATCTAACTGTCGTTGTTAAAACAAAAACAGCAAAAAAATATTACAGTATTTTTCAATTTATCAAATTCAGTTAGAGTATTAATATTTTCGAAAGATCACAAAACCGTGCCCACACCGGAAAATCAAAAAAAAAATTAAAAACAACCATAATACTTTACAAAATTCATTGTCAAATTGACCAAATTTAATCATGAATGTTTTTATAAAAGTTTGAATGTAATGAAAAATGGTTTGAAAGTTTGATCAATATTTTTTTTTTAAATTTAATAAGTTCATTTATGGTATCATCATAAGTTATCAATATTTTACAAACAAAACCATAAAACTATTTAAAAAGTGAAAATTCTTGGTGATTTTTCATAAATTTTTAAGTTCAACTATATATTTTTGGTGCTTAATTAATTTTTAAATTAAATTATTTTTGGCATCATAATTATTAATGTTACAAAATATTATATAAATTAAATTTGATGATAGAGGATATTTAAACTCTCAGAATCAAAGACATTATTTAATTAAACAAAACATTAACTATACTAATTCGTTATATCTTCAAATTACTTGGTGTGGATATAACTCAAAATGCATTAAAATCTATAAATATTATAACAAATAATAATAGAAAATTATACTCTTCTGGTTTCAAAAACTAAATAGTATTATTTTGGATGACAATTTTAAATATTATTTATCTATAATTTTAATGTAATACACTGAAAACCTATATTGGTAAAAAGATTTTTTTACTCTATATCTTGGGAAACTTTCCTCGTAGTATCTTATGGATTAATACATATGGGACAAGGTCTCAATTCATACAACCGAAAAATATTCATGGAACTTTTTTAATACTTCTTTTTTTTAATAATATAATTTTTCTATGCACAATTTTTAAATTAGAAAATTCTTCAAAAATATTTTATGAAATATCTTCCAATTTTGGAGTGTAAACAACTCAATGATTTGAACCAAATGTTTTTGCGATTTTATAAGTAAAAACAGCAAAAATAATAACTTACAACAAAAATTTAAAATTTAAAGAAACTCTTTTAAATACTAGGTTATTACGTCATAATTTCACTATGTTCAAATATATTTGTTTGAGGTGTACACAGCATCATTCTATACCTAAAATAATAATAATATAATATATGGTAGGCACATTTATATTGCTTGTAAAGTAATTTGTTTTAGTATTAGTATTTAATGTATAAATCCCTCCTGGACTTATGGTTAATGGAAATATTAAAAAATAAATCTAAACCATATTCAGGCTTTTCAAAATACAGTCAACTCGCGATATAACGAATTTCAAGGGACCGAGAAAAAAATTCGTTATATCGAAAGTTCATTACATCGAAATTCGTTATATCAAAAGAATATACTAACTGAACTCGTTATAACGAGATTTAAAACAAAAATTCAAAATTTTATTATTCGTATACATAATGTATAAAATATATGAGTCATATAAGTATGTATTTATTGTTTAATTTCAATATAAATGTATGTAATAATATTTCTTATAAAAATATGCTATAATAATAATATTGCTTTTAATATGTACATATAATAAATCGCTATACATGTGTGCAGTGTGCATTTATTTTTTAAAAAAATCAGATATTTTTGATTAAGTAACTTTGATAACTAACTCGTAATCTATTATGTGGTAATAGCAACATACTTATTTTTACATATTTTTCATAGAGTTATACACTAGATACATGTATCTTATCTTAATTAAAATTAAAAATTCATAATGGAAAGCTCCAAATTTATAAAAATACATTACATTTGTTCGTTATACCGCGATATTTTCAAGGGACCGGTAGTTTTATTCGTTATATCGAGATTTTCGTTATATGGAATTTTGTTATATCGCGAGTTGACTGTATTGCATTAAGAAAATTAATGAACTCTCCCTTTTATGTTTCAAATCATACCCTTCACGTAGACCTCAAAATTAAATCTGTAAAAGAAGAAGCAGTAACTCATTATAAAATATTCCATAATCAACTTGCAACTCATTCCAATCATCTTACTCAAGCTCTGTCGTCAAATATTATTCCGGATAATCCTCCAACGCGCTTAAAATTCAGCTGGTGAAGAGATATGTTAACTTAAAAAAAAAAAATTAAATTAAAAAAATGTAAAAAAAAATTATATATATATATATGTAAAAATTAATGTATAACCTCACTTAAAAGAGTCATCACTGGGTGGCTACTTTTATCAAGATTTTTATGTATTATAATATTTATTTTAGCTAATACTCTTATTGTACCCTTGAGGTACAGACTGTATATATAAAAATAAAGGAAAAAAAAATATTTGTATTTAATTAGATAGTTGTTAGTTTTTTTCCAAAAACACTTGTACTTTAATTCATTAAATTAAATTGCTAAGCTTAATTTTATAACCTCGCTTCCAAAAAAAAAAAAAAAAACTGAATCAATTATGTGAAAACTTTTTTATTAATTCTCGTTTTTTTCTTGGATTTTGGTTTTTTTTAAGTATTTTGAACTTTTAATGTTCCAAAATATAATTAGATGCAATTGTATTTAAAAAAAATACCCTTTAAGTTGAAAACTGAAATATTTTTACTGTTTCAAGAGATAATTACAGATAAAAAATGAAAAATAAATAAAAATACAACAAAAAAAACATCATTGTAAAATAAATACTTTCATCGTTTCACTCATGACCTAAAATGATTAATTGTTTTATGTACCTAATGCCTAATTAATATTTTATTTTTATGATAATATTAAAGGTTACCATTAAAAACTATACTTAATCTAAAATTTTTATACAAATTATGTTTGACATGAAGCACCTATTTATTAGAAATTACCTTGTTTAACTAATAATATTTATTTAATATGCTTATTCCTGTTAGTTTAGGTATTTAAAGTTATGTTTTTAGTTTGAACGCAAGGTTACTTATGATATCATACTTGCTGTAATGATCAATTTAAGTTAATCTGTTTTTTAGTAAACGGAGCTCAACTTATAGTAATTATACAATCATCATAATTTATTATTGCTTTCAAATTTAAGATATTAATAGGTGCAACAACGTTTTTATCCGTGGTAAATGAAATGAAGCGTAAAGTATTACGTGATTGAGTACTGCTGCATTTGAATATATTTTTTTAGTTTAGAATAATTTTTTTTCTGAATACATATTATTTTTATTTGGCATATTTTTTTAAACGATTCATTAATTATGCTATATTATACTGAATAAAGTACGATGTTTTAACCAAATAAAAAAATAATACTTTCATTTATATTTAAATTAATTTCAAATAAAATTGTATTAATGTATCTACTTAAAATAGATTTAATTACTTAAATAGTATAACAATTAACAACATGTATGTATAATATAAATATAATTATAAAATATACCGAACACGTTTGTATATAATAGACACACCGGTTGACACACCAAACGTCTCCTAATTTTTGTGGTATAGATTACAACTAACTTTGTGCGCTTGTTAAGTCATCTACGGATATTAAAATCTTCTAAAAATCCACAAGTAAATTCTATGTTAAGTCTTTATTAGTAATATATTTTAATTGTATTTGTTGTTTTGAAGAGATCTATATCCAAACGCTTACATAGAAGAAGACTAACTGACTCTGAGACAAAATCGCGAGTTGATAAAAAAAAAAAAATGTAATGAAATAAAAGTAATTGGACATTAAAAGCAATCCCACGGACAGGCCTTGAGCGTACGCGAGAATATAACAAAACAACTTTTTACGAACATTTAATTTTTTCTTTTTCCAACAAGATGAAGAAGATTTAAAGATTTTGGCGTGCAGCCATCGCGGTTGCAAACAAGTTTTTAAATTTCTTCGGGACGGGTGGAAAAAAAAACTGGATATGAAAATCCCCACTGTCATCCACTGCCAATGACAGAAGCGAGCGTTTCGTATTCATCTCACCCCGTATGTAATTATTCTTTTTTGTACGGGTTCTTGGGATTTCATTGTCACCCATGTGCAAAAAGTTCCTTTATAAGGCCGGACCGATAATCACTTGGACACAATTCGTTCTGATCATCTGCACGAGCACCTACCTTCGAGCAGTATACCTACGGAACACCGTCGCCGCTTTCGTCAGATAACCGTCGAAATAACATTATCAATATGAAGGCAAGCAGACATTATATTTAATATTATGTTCGGTTTAGAAACATATATTATTTTATCTTTTGGACAAATAGTATTTTTCGTTTGAGCCAACCATAACATATTATTATTTTATATTATATTTGTACAGGTCTTGTGTATTACATTACTTTTGGTCGCTGCGGCGTTCGCTGAAACCAAGGACCAACCCAAAAAACGTAGCTACGAATTGGGACACGCAGGATCCGCTGCCTCTCTTGGTAATTTGTTTTTGATATACATATATACGTATTCTTTTTTTTTATATATAATTACACACGGACGCGTTTAAAAAAAAATATTAGTTATGTTTAAATCCAATTCGACAATCACGACAAAGGGCGTCTCCGGTTTATGATTATATTCCTGTAATACGATTCTTACGCTTATTATTGTGTTGATGTCAATCACTTTTGAGTTCTGAGTACCGATCATTTTCAAATAATTATTACTGTTCAAAGCGGCACAATTAAAGAGAACTCCGTTAACATTCGACGTATTAATAAGATAGTTGTGTTTTTTATCGTGCTCATGTGATCGAGCATGTGATGATAATATGCTACTGATAATGTAGTTTTTGTTGCTTTTAAACGTATCCATAAAATACGGCGTTAACGATTTATAGGAATCGTATAAAATTCAATACAATGTATACTTTAAACATCAATACATACATTTCTATATTCTTCATTCACTTCAAAATATTTTATTTTATTGAGGCGAACACATCTGCCGTTTATGTACAATATATTTGTCGACGATGTTCATTAAAATAATATATTTGTATGTATAAATAAATAGCCAAAAAAGCCATAAAAAAACTGTTAATTTAATTAGAAATAATTTTTAACTTAACTTATTTTAAACCTACCTAATAATATCATTGTATAACAGTCTATTTTTATTGAAAACGAGTAATAATCACAATTTGATAACTAACCGGTTAATTTCTTCAGCTAAATATTTAAATATTACAAATGGGAGGCTTAATAAAATAATAACTATAATACGTTATGATATGTATTTTTTTTGTATCACTTTTAAGTAATTCATAATATTGAATTATCCACAAATATTTCATTTTAAGCATGTTTTGGTATTCTTAGATGCATCAAAATATTTAATTCTGAAATGTAGTTAATTATAGATTATAATAACGCGATTGCAGTATAGCATCATTTCAAGCTTGCATAATATTATTTGAATTTAAAAATACATTTTCATTTAAACCATTTTACTACATACCTACATAATAATATTAGCATAATAAATAACATGCTAAAATATATTTTGTCACACCTTGATATTATATTTTAATTTTACGACATAACGTGGGAAACAAAAGTGGTATATTTCCGCTGTTTTGATTATAAAATTTACCTCTTATATGAGTCGTGTGAGTTAAATTTGATCGATAATCATATTATAATATGTGCATGGAATCACAAGGTTATTTTGTGTTACGTGTTGTAACTATATTTTAAGACAAACTCTTAACTCATTTACGATACCGAATACTATACTATTTTGATAATAAAATGGTTATGTTTTATTTGATATTTAAATAACTCAATATATAATAAAGTTTGAAAATGATTATAGTGTATACTTTCTATAAATATTTTAAATATTCATTAAAACTCATTACATTTATTTACTAAAAATCTCAAATAAATATGTACCCTTATAAATAAATTTAGTGAGTTTTCGATAGTCTCGTAGAGTAATTGATCTCGGTCGAAATAAGACATCGTGTTAAGATGAGATATGATATTTACTATATTACTTCTTTCTACTTTAACATATTTTAACTTAATTTAATTTTTTTTATTTTATTTGACGTTGGATATCTTAGATTTTTAGAATGTTAGAACACGTGTAAATCCTAGTATATTCATTATGTTTTAAGGTATTTAAATATTATTTATAAATTAAAATAATAGTAGGTGTCGTATGATATTTGTTTGTGTTTTTAAATCAATAGTTTAATTGTTGAATTGGTTTCTTAAATATTTTTGTGTTCAAATTGTTTCTAAAATACTTAATTTTATGTATTTTTATAGGATACGGATCTAACTTTGGATACGGATCTGGTTTTGGATACGGATCTGGTTTTGGATACAAATCTGGATATCAATCGGCATACCCATCATCCTATTCGGCTTACTCAGGCGCATACCCAGCAGTGTCATACTCATCTTACCCAGCCACTTCTCGTGCCTCATACGCAGCCTTCTCTGGTGCCTATCCGGCATCTTACTCGGCTAACTCTGCTGCCTTCCCGGCATCTTACTCGGCTTCTGCCTTCCCTGCATCCTACTCGGCCAATTCTGCTGCCTTCCCTGCATCTTACTCAGCCAACTCTGCTGCGTTCCCATCATCTTACTCCGCCTACTCTGCTGCTTACCCAGCATCTTACTCTGCTTACTCGGCTGCTTACCCAGCATCTTACTCTACTCACTCAGCTGCCTACCCAGCATCTTACTCAACCTACTCGGCTGCATCTCCAGCTGCCTCTTACTACAGTGCCTCCCCGGCATCTTACTCGGCTTACTCCGCCGCATACCCAGCATCTTACTCGACCTACTCAGCTGCATCTCCAGCTTCAGTATACGGTGCCTACCCAGCATCATACTCTGGTGTCAATGCTGCTTCTTACACTGCTGCATTACCAACATCTTACTCTGCTGCCATCCCCTCGTCGTACTCTGCATACTCTGGAGCATCTCCTTTGGCATATTCTGCCAACTCTGCTTCTGCTGTGCACAACGCTGAATTCGTATCAAGCACAGTCGCACCAAAAGCTGCATCTTACGGTGCAACAGAGTACTTGGGATCTCAGACTTTCAACATCAACAAATAGACAACGGCAAAATAATTATGAAACGAAAATATAACAATGCAAATCAATGAATAATGTGTGTTTACAGTATAAAATAAATAAATTTATTTTAAAATTTAAAATACTTTCTTTATTTAAAAAATATATAAATGAACATTAATTTAATGTGATACATTAATTTTTTGGTAATTTAATTATCATTCATTAATGTACTTATACTTGTACTAATTAAAAATATTAGTAAAACAAATTATTTCTTTCATATTGTTATTTTAATGACTCATAAGCATTAAAAGACATTATTAAAATAATGTATAGGTAAACTATTGATTACTTGGAATCACGATAGTGTGTTATATATAAACAGTAAAACAAATCCAGTGAAAAATAATTTAGGTAATATAAAATTATAAATTAGTATTAAAGATTAGTCACAGTCAGCGTTTTAGACTTTAGTAAAAAAATATAGGGATTCTGAAAATTATATATTCATATAATAATATAATAATAAAATATTATCACGATTAAAGATGATATTTCACGTATTTTATACATCTATGATATAGCAAGTGCCTACATAATTAGCAATAATTATATATAATAAAATAGTATAAGTAATACAGTTTTTTTTTTTTTTTTTAAGTGATTGCGTTGTCAAGACAGAAATATTTAGAATAAACAGTAGTCAGTCGTATGTAATAGTATGACTCGTACGGAAGTCATTGAATCATTTCATATAGTGTTAAACCACTATAAGTAAATAAATTAAATATTATTTAATAATTGATTTAATTAATTAACAATCAAATATTTACAGACAATATGTATTAGTGTTTAAAATATCTCTTTAAGTTAACGAACTCTTTTTCTTTTTTAAACATATTTAACGGCTTTAATTGGATGAATATAATAATATCTTGTATTTTGACTTGATTTTATTTAAACACTTTTCAACTTGTATCTATTTGGTTATTTACAAAATTTGATGTAATTTACTCATTTATATAGATAGTATGTACCAACGATCATGTATGTACTTTTTATCTGTAAAAATCACAAATATAATATACCACAACTTAATAAAACATTCAATTACTATTTTATTAATTATTAATACATTTTATTATTTGACGTAGTACGTTGTGATAAATACATTTGTTTAATGTTCATCAAAATACTGACGGACAATAACATTCGGATTGGTTCCGTCAATCATGACTACACAGCATATTATAATGGAGCTATGCATGGTTAATGTGATCATAATTTTTTTTACTCAAAACAGAACCCTTGTAAATTTTAATAGGAAAACCTTAATAATAATTATTGACATAAATTAGGTTCTTATTTTTGTATCATTTCTATCAATGGATTATGACTTATGGAGATTTATCATCAACAATATAAAATATATATATATTATGTATATATCAGTGTACCTATAGTATATGTGTACCAGGTACCTACCAACATAATGTTTTTGGTTTTGATGAATAACGGAATAAATATTGCGTGCTCTTTCTTAATAGAAAAAATGTTATAAATCACCTTTTTTCCAAAGTGAGTCATTTTTGGATCCTTTGGGGACAAAAGAATACAAAGCTCGAAATCCAGACTGTCTGCCCAAAGCGAGATATATGGTTCACGTTGTGCATGTCCGATATAAATCGATTTTTTAAATTAAACACCATAGATTTTTGGTCCATTTTGGTCTGATTTCCAGTATTTACGGGTTTTTTTTTGTTTGACTAATTTATATTACTTTGATCCGGTTCGGATTGGTTAAATATTCAAAAATATAATAGGGAAATCTAAAGCCTTGTATCCAGTAGCCAATTTTTGTAGTATTAACTATATGTCATACGATTACGAAATACGAAATATGTAATAACTAAAATGTATTGATATAATTCTTAAAATATTGTGATATAACCACTATCTAATGGGTAAAACATGATTGCATACGATTTTACCTGATTTTTAACTATACGATCATGTACATAAGTATTAAGCGTTATTAATTGATAATTTTATTTATTTATTAACTATTTTATTATAATTTAGTTATTTTTATTAGGTATATTTTATTATGTTATCGATTATTTCCCAGAATCGTCACATCCCGACGTTTACTGAAATAACATTATGGTAAACAATAGTCGTTAGTCGTCACTTGTCTTTAAGCAGGTTAAGTTGTCTAGTATCTCCTGTCTAGCCTGATACTAATGTAAATATTTTTATTTCTTTTTATAAGTATAATGGCTTTATATTGAAATATTACAATCTATACAAGTGTACTAATAAACAATAATTATGAGAAAATAATAACATGGTAAGAATAGTCTCATATTAGAGATACTTAGTGGCTTTACGTAAACAATTTACAGCTTATAATTTTTTTAAGTCACGGCACCAACTCCGCTTGAGTCGTCTGGTAGGTTTCCCGGGTAATACTGGTATAACTAACATTTCTGTTAAGCTAATTGGAGTTAGATTGAAAATTTGCGTGGAAGCGTTTGTAATATTTAATAAAAATATGAACATTTCAGTTTTCCGTATTAACGTGTATTTACAATTTATGTCTCACGTGTGGTTGTGTACTTGATTACTACTACTACTACTGCAGGATCGTCAGAAGAACTTGGAGGTATTAACTGTAACGTGCGTATATGTTTATATCAATATTAACATACGGGTTAAAAATGATTCTCAAAATATATTTAAAATAGGTATTGAGAATTAACAGTAAGTAATTAAGTTCTAATTAGTATACATTTTAGACTGTAATAAAGATGTCTAAACTCTAAGCCATACAATTTTTATTTTTTTTAATTGGTGTGGCTCGGTCTTTTTTAAGAAATTAAAAAATTATCAATTTAATCTAGTTCAGTTACATTTCCTTACGCATACACATTAGTCTGGTCCAGTTTTGGTCTTAAACGTTCTTCATCAATCCGGTCCGGTCCATGCTATTATGAGTCATACAGAGTTCTATATTAAGATATACACGTAAAATACGCTAATATAACGCACTAAAAATTTATAAAATTACCGGAAAGCTTAAAAAAAAAAATTATAGATAAATACAAAATAAAAGTAAAACCTTTGAAGTATATGTTTTGTGAGTTATTCACATGGAATGCATTGTCCTAGAGCACCTAAAAAAATGCACTCTGCGTTTAAATCCAAGCCCTAATTACAAGACACAATACTAACATAAATTTTGTATTTAGTATTTATGGTGCAATTTTCAACGTGACTTTTCATACCAACGTTAGTGGGTATAATAATTATTATGACAATTTTTTAATCGTAAAATTATGATACGGCGTTGTAGATAGGCAGCTACTGATCTTTGGCTGTGTGAGTTGCCGAGAATTTGTAAAAAAACGGAACATTTTATATGATGCGTTCATGCTACCGCGAATCACACACCAAAAATGTACGATAAGTCATACATTGCTGTTATACTAACGTCACAGGCAACACTTGTTCATTTTTTAAATTTGTGGTGTAGCTCTTTTTTTCTAAATGATAAGTTTAATACATTTTAGAATATTACAAACTATATGACTTTTTTTTAGTGGTGTTTTTGCATATTTTTGAAAAATAAATTCATAATATTAAATAATGTTAATGTATGTTTTTTATTTGCACGTATAATTTTTCAGTTTTTACTGTTTTTAGTGCATATAAATATTATTTAATACATTACATTTGCAATGAGTAAACATTAAAATGTTCAATGTTTAATAAGCTAAAAATTAATCAAATAAAATAATACAGTTCACTTCTATACTTGAGAGTATTTTTGAGTTAAAAATAGTAATATATGTAAATTTAAACTTTGATATAAATAAAGAAAGTAATACGATGTTGAAGATACTATATTACCTACATATTATTAAACAATAAATAGTTATCAAATCAGTTGGTTTGAATGAAATGTTCCAACTTAAAATAATGTAATATACCATATAAAATAAATACTTTACAAAAAATAACTGTTACGTATTTTCATAATTCATGGTGTATTATTATTTAACTTTATTAAAGCCTTAAGAATTATAGCAAAAAATAATTAGTTACATAAGTATTATGTTTACAGAGTTTAAAAATAAAAATATATTTTTATAACAATATATTTTTTTATGATGATTATAACTTTATATGCAATAAAATTAAGTCTAACATAATTATAATAAAGTTGTAGAATAGTCATTTTGTAATTTAGCTGATTACGCCTATTATTATGTTGCGTATAGCTATAGTCCGGGTAAAACAATTTCCTACGATGTATTTAGTTGATTATATATTTTATTTATTATAATTTTAGTTATATATGATGATAATCCAAATGTAATCATATTATTTTGAAATTAAAATTTATTTTGACATTCATCTGTAACGGCTATAACAATATATTATTGTACATACGAACATATATTTATATTTTGTAAATAATAAATTATATTTCGTTCGGTACTATAGTTCGTAATTTAATTAATAAAAGATTATGTGTAGTATATGGACATATTGCATCGTATACGTATCTTTTAAGTTTTTTCAAAGCTGACATAGGTTTTTAGATTAATGAAGGTCCAGGAAAAATAAATTTAAGGATGGATCTAAAAAAAATTTTTTGTCTTACATATAAAATTGAATTTTTTACCGTTACCTTTATGTATGATAACAAACGCTATAAGCATGAATTTGTTAGTTATTAGTTAAATTATTATTTATTATACATTATAATATAATTACTCTAGGTTATACGTGTAATTAAAAAAAAAAAAAAAACAGAAACCTATAGTTAAACTAAATAGGTAGACAATATAATGGATTTAATTTTATTTCCATCTAATCTGTTATAGCTCTTGTGTAAATTAACTTTGCATGTAGTCATGGTCTAAATTTACTTGAAAAAATATAATCATTATTTGTTTTTATTTAATATTCAAAACAATATTATTATAATACTTAATGAATAACATACTTAGTTTATACGTATAAACTAAGATAAGTGCGCGTTACGGCTTATTACTTAATATATTATTATATTTTACACAATAAAGCAAGCCAAAAATTATCTTTTAGGTATAT